AAAGGTTTTGCTCTCTACATAATGCTCTGTAATGTGAGGAACTGCTAGTACTGACGAGCTACATCAAGAAATGGCGACGAACCCCGACTCCATACTGCTTTAGCTTTAAGTGAATTTCAGATGCATATATAAGCTGAAAACATGCTGTTGGCGATTGTCATAAGTTTTAAAAATGAATGACATGCCGCTGAAGTCATACAGACGCAATCGCCGCATCTTTGTTGGACAGTCTGAGTTCAAACGTTCAGACAACCTAAAGGTGCTTATTTAAGCTTCGCCAGATGATCTGTGTGCATTTTGAATTGGGTGAGCCCTACAGCTAATGATGTCACACTTTGTTGGCATGAGTTCACACCACTGATCACAGGGCTTGGTGTTAATCTCAGCTGGTGGTGGTAAGTAAAGCGTGGCGTTAAACTGCTGTTATTTTTAGCCCAGCTCATAAAAAAAGACAGAGGGAACTCAAGTATTAATATTCAAGTGTTACGCTGTTTCTGAAAAAATTGGAAAAATTAATCAAGATGACATATCAAATATTGAAACTAAGAGATGTGACTGTGAAATAGGATTTAGAAAACACTCGTTAAAAACTGTTGGGAGTGACTTCACGTTGTAATGCTTTACACAGTTGCCTAACAACCAAGAGATCCCCGCTTAGATGGTGGGAGGAGACAAAAATCTCTCTGGGGTTTTGTCAGGAAAAAAATTAAGAGAAATGTAAATGGAAAAATAAATCTAGTAATGTGAGTTTGAGTCTTTTAGAAGTAATGATGGGCTCTGTGAAAGACTGTGTCGGCACAGTCAACAAATTAAAAAATAACATTTCTAGATGGAAAAGCAAGTTTTTGGAGGTTCCATCGTTATTAAAATGTGACACATGAAAACAAAAAGACACATTAAGTGATCTTTGGGCATTTTGGCAGTTCTACATTTAATACAGTAGCAGCATTACTGTTGCATTCATGTTTATTTCCCTCAAATCCTGCCCACCTCACTCTGAGTTGTTTGTGTGTTTTCCTCTTCTTTCTTTCTCCTAAACAGACCCCCCGGGAGGTGGCCCAGCAGGCGGTTGATGCAGACGTTCACTGTGTCGGGGTCAGCACGCTGGCCGCAGGACACAAGACCCTGGTGCCAGAGCTCATCAAGGAACTGCAAAAACTCAACAGGCCAGATATACTTGTCATCTGTGGAGGTGTCATCCCACCCCAGGTAAACAGTCCATGCATGGTTTCCTTTGGATAATTAAAACATTCCAGAGGATTTTATCTCCTAATGCGCCTTTTTTTAGAGCCTGAAATGGAAGTCTAAGATTGTAGGTTTGAAATTAAACAGATAGGTGAAAAACATAAGCTATAAAAGTGTCTTTCTTTCCATCCCTTTTCTATTAGCTTAATATTTGCTGAACACTCAAATCCTTTTACCTTTCAAGGATTATTGAAGTTGTGGTAATTAATTGACAATATCCATCCCACTCCAGATAATAAAAGTTTAATTACTATTTCGTTTTTTAAGAGTGCATCGCCTTTTTAAAGATTAAAACATTTACCAACATTGCCTGAACACCGTGAATCTAAACCGTGTGACGCCTCTGTTTGAACGCAGGACTACGAGTTCTTGTACCACAGTGGCGTATGCGCCATCTTTGGCCCAGGAACCAGGATCCCACAGGCTGCAGTGGAGGTTATTGACAACATTGAAAAGAGCCTGGAAAAGAATCGACAAGCAATGTGAAAGCGAACTGCTTGTTCAAGCGTCTGTACAGGATCAGTCTGACGAGGATGTAAAAGAAAAAGCAAGACTAATTGTTACATTTAGTTTTTTGTGTGTTCATTAACAACACTCAAAATGAACAATGTAACGTCACACAAACCTCCTCAGTAGGATTTGAATGATGTTTGTTAATGATTTCACTCTTTGCATCATACCTGTGTGTTCTCTGTATTGATTTCTTAATCAGTCTGATTATATTACATCTAAAATTCCAGAGTGTAAAAGAAAGCACTTATCATACACTGTTATTCCAATTAGGATTATGATGTGACAGAAATTTGTCCTTTTTTTTTTTACAATCCAAGATAAAACACGGGGAAAACCACAAACCTGCTTTGAATGTATTTTTTGAAATGTCTCTGTGTAATTTAATAACGTAGCAGAGT